GCAAAAACTGGAGGGAGAAGGAAACTTGATTTGGCTTTTTTTTTAAAAAGGAAAAAGAATAAGAAAAAAAGAAGAGAGAGAGAGAGAGCTAGGATGCTGTACAAGCAACGGCAAAAACTGGAGGGAGAAGGAAACTTGATCTTGCTATTTTTTTTAACGAAAAATAAAAAGAAAAAGAAAAGAGAAAGGTATGGTGCTCTACAAGGAACGGAAAAACTAGAGGGAGAAGGAAAAAACAAAAGGGAGGGCAGCCAAGGAGAAAAAAAAATAGTAGTGCTACACTTAATAGAGGTAATGTCCATCAACACGTGGATTACATTTTTATTAGATAGATGATACAAATTTATGTTAGCATTTGTACTGTATTGCCTACTCTCTTCCAGCATGGATCTTTCCAAAATATATTTCCCATGCGAGAAAATGATGCCCATCGGCACTCTGCGAACTTGAAATGGTGTAAGAGATATCGTAACAATGAAACCCCTTATAATCGTACTTGATTGATGATATTGAGGGTTTTCATTAGTTATGATGTCTCTTGACAACATTTGAGGTGAAGAAGATGTTGATGCATTGCAACACAATTTTGTCACTAGGGAAAGACATTTTGGACAAGACCAAACTAGCTAGTTTGCCAGTTTCCCAAAAAAAAAAAAAAAAAAAAAACAAGCTAGTTTGCCTGAGGTTGTGAAGGATGGATATCATATTGCACCGTTTTGTGTGTCGGAAGTTACATCAAATGAAAGAGCTGAATTCCCAGATTCTTCAGAACTCTTTCATAAAAGTAATTGCTACAATGTTTTCCAACACATGTTTGAAATCCCTCTTTGCTCCTCAATAGTCATTTTGACCTAATTTGCCTATGAAATTAACTGTTTGTGCTACATTTTTCCCTCCACAATCAAACACGACTAAAATCTATTAAATTTGATGATGAAGCACATGTGATGTTCACTTTACGAGAGACAAAAATTTATACCGCTATGCTTGCCCATAGATGTTCCAAGCACCAATTTGCTCCTTAAAAATCATTTTGAGACGACTTATCTCTTAACATTCAATTCTTGTGTCTCACTTTACCCTTCACCTCTAAATTGTAATAGAATCATTAATTTTGATCATGTGGTGCGTTGAGGTTCACTTTTTTTGCTAAAATGTGGCCATGAGGAGGTCTTCTACTCGGCACCGGGAACTAGAGATAGACCTAGCATTCGTGTCGTGTTTTCTATGTTTGTGTCATTTTCGTGTCATACTCGATATCTTAACGAGTCATGTTGTGTAACACCTGTTAAAATAAACAGGTAAAATGACCCGACCTGATAATATTAACAGGTAATATGACCCGATTCATTACCCGTTAAGGAAAATATATTTTAAACCAATAAATAATCAAATGAAAAACATAATACTAAATAAGTATATACATACCATATTGTCACATCCAAAACATAAATCACATTTTTTTTAAGTATATATTTACATACCCAAAATAAGAGCATAATAAAAAAAGGGTTAAACTCTATTGACTACCCTGAAGTTTCGTGGTTTTCAACATTTAGTACATAAAGTTTTTTTTGTCTCAGAGTCATACCTAAAGTGTTAATTTTGGGATAGTCTCATACATCCATTAGTCAAACTGTTAATTCTCCCGTTAAGTGATAACGTGGCGCCCATATGGACAATGATTGGGCGCCACATGTCATTAAAAATATTAAAATAATCAATTAAATATTAAAAAAAACCCATAACCTTATCGTCTTCCCCACCCCGACCCCCTCCCTTCTCCCTCCCTTCTCTTTTTTGCACCTACCCAACCTCTGCACATCCATCCTTACCCCTCCCTCCTTCTCCCTCCCTTCTTTTCCCCGCACACCCACCCATTCCCTTCATCTGCACTCACCCCTACCGACCCCCTCCCTCATTCTTCCCACCTCCACGGGACCATCGACACCGTCGATGCGAAAACCATCATCACCAGCCGACCCGACAAGATCTCGAAATCCTAGCTCTTCTTCGAGCTCTCGATCTACTCCGACAACATCGTGAAGAACGACGACATCGTTTCGTCCTTCGTCTTCATCACCATGACCAAATCCAAGCCGTACGATTTCAGAGTGCGACGTCATTTCGTCCTTCATCTTCATCACCATGACCTGAACCGGAGCAAACGTTCGATGCCTCAGACCACGAGGGTTTGGAACTTCCTTAGCTCGTAATGCAGCCATCGCCATGGATTCAGGGAAGAGAATGGATGCAAGGTGCCCATAAACTTATTTTTTATTTTTTATTTTAAATTGAGTGGGTCAGGGGTTGAGGGAAGGAGAGGGTTGGATTGGAGGCCAAGAAGGGAGAGAGAAGGCAAAGGCATCGAAGATCCAGGAGTAGGCTAAGGTGTTAGGCCGGAAAGCCAACGCCATCATGCTTGCCATGTTTTCCGACAACGCCATTAAAGCAGCTCAAGCAACTCAAAAAATTTAATTTTTTATTTATTTTTCTGATTCAATTTGAAATTTTTGGAAATTGGGTGGTTGTAAAATCAATTGGATTTGGGGAAATGGGATTTGTGTACAGGGTGCAATTTATGGAGGAGGAATAGGGGTGGGGTTAGGAGAGGAATGGTGGAGAAGGTGGTGGTTGTGGAGAAGGGGGACAAAAATGGGGGAGAGAAAAAGGGGAGTTGAAGAGGGTGTTGCAGAGGGAAGAAGGAAGGGAGGTGGAAGACAGGTGAGTGGGCAAGGATGGGGATTTGGTTTTTTTTTTTTTTTTTAATTTTTTGAATTTAATTAATTATTTTAATATTTTTAATGACACGTGGATGACATGTGGTGCCCAGTCATTGTCCACATGGGTGCCACATCATAGTTAACGGAAGACTTAACAGTTTGACTAACGGATGTATGAGACTGTCTCAAAATTTACATTTTAGGTATGAAATGGGACGAAAAAAACTTGATGTACTTAATGTTGAAAACTACGAAACATGAGGGTAGTAAACAGTCTTTTGCCCTAAAAAAAACATTAGAACATTACAGAATATTAAATGTTCAGAAGATTTGCAAAATTAAGGACATTGGAACATTAAAACATTGGAACCTTGCACATTTTCTTTAATAGTTTTTTAATTAATGTAGAAGTGTAAAAAAATATATAAACCCTCGTAATGACAAGCTTTACAACTTTCGTGAAGAGCTTAACTTTGAAATTCACCACTATAATTATATAAATCATAGATCAAAACTTAACCATTGATTGTTGTTTACATTTACGCTTCAGTTGCATGAACAAAAACATTTCAAAGAAAGTGAGCAAACAAGCAAAGGGGAGGAAGATCATTAAACTTTCATCTTGTCTCCATTTAATTTTTATTACTTGATTTTGATTGAATTGTTTATTTCAAAGATAAAGGTTACCTTTGTATTACAGCCTTACAGATGGATGTAATTATCATGATCAATGGATAATGAACATATTTTTATTAGAGGTAAGGTCCATCAAGACATGTGAATCACATTTTTATTAGATAGATGGTATAAATAATGGTACAAATAGATGATACAAATTTATGTTAGCATTTGTACTGCATTGCCTACTCTACAAAACAGAAATAAAGTAAGAGGTATCGTAACAATGAAACCCCTTATAATCGTACATGATTGACAATTTTGAGGTATTCATTAGCTACGATGTCTCTTGACAACATTTGAGGTGAGAAAGATGTTAGATGCATTGTAACACAATTTTGTCACATGGGGAAGACATTTTGGACAATACCAAACTAGCTAGTTTGCCTGAGGTTATGAAGCATGGATATCATATTGCACCATTTTGTGTTTCGGAAGTTCGATCAAATCAAGGGAGCCCATAGTCTTCAAAACTCTTTCATAAAAGTAAGTAATTACTACAATGTTTTCCAATAGATGTTTGAAATCCCTCTTTGCTCCTTAATAGTCATTTTGAGTCTAATTTGCCTATGCAATTAACTGTTTGTGTTACATTTTTCCCTCCACCATCAAATCCAACTAAAATCTGTTAAATTTGATGATGTAGCACATGTGATGTTCACTTTACGAGAGACAAAAATTTGTACCAAAGAGTGGGCCAAGATTAGCATGACAAATCAGGGGATGTTGTAGGAGGTGTCTTATGTGTATGGGTCCGCACGTAAGCATGGTCCGGATCCAGAATTCTCACACAAAACGTCAGCAAATTTAACATATTTTTTTATAGACTTAACAGTGGGAGGCAAGGCAAGACGTTAAAAATAAAATTCAAGAGCAATTGAAGATAAAATGACTCTTTAAGTGGTAAGGGGATAAAAACTACAGAATGCATGTGAAGTTCTTCAAAGTCTCAAAACTCCCCAAATATTTCCTACGTAGTTTCTTCGGGGACATCCGATAAAATTTGAACGATTCATCTATTTCCTATGTAGTTGGCAACAAATTAAATGAAGTGATACTCCGTTAAGCCAGGCATCTTCCTCACAGGGAATGCAGGTTAAAACCTTTGGTTCCCAACCCCGAGAGAAACAGAAATATAAACTTTGGGGAAAATAAGCAAAGGATATAATCATAAAATTGCATCGAAAAAAAACAGTTACCACAAACGCAAGGATGAGAATCCAGAAAGTAAGGTACAAAGCTGTTTAAGAAGTATCACTACTACATTGAAAGGCAAACATTTCATCTGATTGATAGAAATTGCAGGATGCCTTTCTTCTCTGTGTAAACAAGTGAAAATGTGATATCAATGTATAAACCATTTTTTCTCTTCGTTTTCCCTTTTTATGCTACACACCTTCATTGTCAATTTCTACAGATGGACCTACCAGAAAGTTGGATGCGTTCTTGAGTTCAATCAACCTCGTGAGAAAGCAGTGAAATTCATATGATAGCAGGTGGGATTGCATGGGAATGGACAGTCAATTTGCTTTACTGCATTTCTACCGAAGTACCAGTCACCCACAGACTCTGCAATTGTCTATCAAAAGTTCAAACCAGTCAGATGACAAGTTCAGTATGAAAAATGACAGAGGACCATTTTTTTTTCAAACAAAAATGATGAGCAGATTTTGATGCCGTAATGCCAAACTCGTGGTATTTAGGCACTCAGTTGCATGAACAGAAACATTTATAAGAAAACAACGTATATATACATATACATATATATGTATATTTCGAAAACCTCAAGGAAAGTGAGCAAACAAGCAAAGGGGAGGAAGATCCTTAAACTTTCATCTTGTCTCCAGTCTCCGTATTTTCGTTGCTAAATCTTTTTCTGGAAAGCAAAGTACAAAAGATATCCACGGGATACATGTTTACATCACAAAGAACAATTACTACATTGAAAGCACATAGAACATCATATTAAAAAGTGTTTCTCTCCTCTATATAAAAAACTTGTAACATGATGGCAAGTATAAACTGTTATTCCGTTTTCTTCACACCTTGTCTCTATTTTCTTTTCGTGATTGATAGACACCTTCCTTCTCAATGTCTACAGGGATAGGAGCATAAACAATAGGGGAAGATTTCTGCCAGGAAGTAAAGATTTAAAGTTGGGAATAATCCACTAGAAAGTTGGAAGTTTTCTTGAGTTCAATAAAAAAAGGTGATAGAGCAGTGAGATTTATATGATAGCAGGTGGGATGGCTTGGAAATGGGAAGTCAGTTTGCTTTACGACATTCTGACTAAAGTACCAAGCACCCACAGACTCCGCAATTGTCTATGAAAGTTCAAATCAGTCAGAAAGGTAGTTTAAAAATGACAGAAAACCATTTGTTTTCCAATAAGGGAATGAGATGATTAAAATTTCCACACCTTATTGTTTATTCGTGGAGAAGTGGGTGAATGCCATGTCTCGGTTATCCACGTCTGGCAATGAATATAACATGAATTTATAAACATTCCTCCTTCCGTATTTTTTTGGAATTCAGTCAGTGCTTTCAGCATAGAATCACGGAAACCTGTATGAAATAAGTTGATACGTTAATCTGCCACAATATTCTGTTTATATTTACACTTCTTTATAGAACGAATTGCAAGGACCTATCTGTTGACTCTATTTTTCGATTGACAAGAAGCCTGAAGCTAGTGAAGCTACAAAATACATGTAAGATGAACCAATACTATAATCCCCTAGTTTGACAATGTACATTTGTGAAGTTAACGTTAGTAATGCCCACTGTTGCAACTTGCAACTGTAAAAGATGCTGGCTCATGGTCCACAAACTCTAGGATTCTTAGGGTAACATTTTTCACAGGTTACTTCAAATGCAACGTGATGAGAAGACCCAAAACTTCCTGCTCATCACAGCATGCAGTGTGCAAATATGCTGGTTTATAGTCCACAAAAATCTATAGATGGTTACAATCAACCACCTGAATTAACAGTTATCGGATCATTGGGATGTAGCACATGAAGGGTGGGTCACAGGCATGCTTAGCTACATAGAGTCAGAACAGCATTATGTGTATGTGATTTTCCTGGACAGTCGGGCAATATATAATTTGGTTTTCTCAAATTTAATTACCATGTAGTGTTTTAAGCTGGCTGGGATTGCAATTGTGAATGTTCAGTTTACACTTTCTCCAATAGCCATGTGGATCTGCTGCTTCAGGTATCAAGATATGTTGTACCTAATGTCATAAAATTAGGAAATGACAGAAGAATCCAAATCAATTCTGATAACAAGTAAATGAAGCTTGGGTTCTGAAGAAAATTACCTGCCAAAAATCATAAGCTGGGTTGACAAGAAACACTGGGGTATTGATGTGTTTAATAACTTCTTCAGGAAAGAGACACTGGTGTAGAAGTTCACAACAAAAAATGGGGGCTTTGTGTTATAAATCATAACTGAGCAGAAAAATAAGAAGCTATAAAATTTGACTATTTGGCACCATATAGAGGAAAAGAACAACTACCTTAGCTGGTTCCATCCTCAAAAGGCAATCCTTGTGCAAACTTTTTGATAAACCCTGACAGCGCAACAGAAAAATAAGCAAGAGAAAGCAATGCAGGTACTGTTTAATGACTAATGTCCTAAAGCTTCTCTCTAAAGATTTAATTTTCATTAAGTGATATAGACCAAGATGAATGAAACCCTTTCTCATATATGATGTGTCACACTCACAAAAAAGAACAAGCAGATGGACCCATATAAATTAAAAACATGTCGACTAGTTTTTACATCTCATAATTAAATGGTGGATCCTGCAGATCTGACAGAATTTGATAGAATTAAGTTTCTACAAAAAACATAGGTCGTACCCAGTGCACAAGGCTCCCGCTTTACGCAGGGTCTGGGAGAGGTGAATGTCGGCTAGCCTTACCCCCATTTATGGAGATAAAAAAATATAGTGATAAAAAAATATAAAGATTACATAAGCTAGTAATAGTAAAGATCAAAGCTAACCTGAAGGATGGCAACATCATTATAGAAAGACCTCATCGTCCGATGCTGGAGAACATCTTCCCTGAAATGTAGGAAACAGAAAATGGCTCAAAACTTTCCCTCTTTCTCTCTCTACATCTCCTATTTCTTTATGAATTCACTATCCTGAGCACAGGGGATGCACTAGATAGGAAAAAAGGGAAAAGCATCGTACATGCAAAACAATTTAAAAAATCCTACTGTAACTTGATAGGAAGAATTTCAATCATTTTAGAAAAATGTGGTACATAGGTGTTCCATTTTGATAGGTCTCATATTCTGAGGTATGAAAATGAGAGAGTAGAATCAGGCAACACCATCATTTTATGAAATTTATGATCTAGGAGATATTATATGATCCTGGAAGTGTACACAAAGAAATATGATCCTTGTATAATCCTAGAAAGATTTCATCTTGAACAGGTTCACTAAAAGATGTAGGTGCCGAAGGCATTAGTACGCAAAAAACATACTCATCAAGGAAAAAACCTGCATCAGCAAGACATTTGACAGTTGCATCCTTAGGCAGAAGATGTCGAAAGTCATCACAATGTATAAGAGTCGCTAACCCACCGGCAGAGCATCCTGAAAGAAGGGCCTGTAAGAGTGCCACTCATACATATTAGCAGAAATAGACCACTCATTGTAATAATCTCGATGAGTAGCTTTCAATTAGTTCATGGTGAAAAACAATACTTTTCTTGCGGAGAATGGTATTACAATTGCTGGACCAATCATATCATTATAATATTAATGAAACCAGAGTGAAAAAGACATCTTGTATAGTCATAATCATCGATACATGCATAGAAAATTTCTAATGTTTAAAAGCTGTGAACTGCAGTTCATATTATTCAAATAGAGCTTAACCGAAGTAACCACGAGATACCTGTTTCCCTTTTGACAAGCCAATTGACAAGAGTTCATCCATAACTGCTTCCCAGATGAGCTGGCCCCTAAAAAAAGGTCCTGATCCATTCTATGAAATAGAAGAACAGCCAATGTTAAAATAACAGCTTACATTCTTCCGTTTATAAAATTAAAACAAGGCAGCAAAATCTCCAAACACAATGCACCTTAGGCTCATTTTCCGGGTGGCCAGCAAAGGACGCGCCATCACAGTATCTGATTTTGACTTTGTTCCAGTTAAAGAATTCTACAGAATGCTCCAAACAATGAATTGATACACATCAATTAGATGGCCAACAACTTAGATTGAGCTAGAATTACAAAATGAAGCGTTACGGGAATAAAAATAGCAGCCAAATAAAATCAAGCTTACCAGGATTTTGTGATGGATGAGAGCTCAAAATCCCAGAAAAGGGAACTCGACGATCCATGTAATTAGAAGACCCTAGTAGAGTACCTTTGCGCCAAGAACACGATTCAATCGAATTGCACCAACCTCCACCCTACATTTTCCATTTTTGAACCAAATCCATCACACAATTTTCCATTCTAAACATAAAAATCTACTAGCATATGCAAATTCACTGAAATTGAATGGAACAATTTGTATTAGACCTGTAAAAAAGGCACAGGGATAGAATTTTGACCTCAATGTGAAGCAGCCAATTGTTGGCGCCGGATCCGAATCCCTTCCTGAAATGGTAGCCAGGGGCAGTCCCGTCCAAACAAACTGCAAAACCAAAATTCAAACAATTAGGGCGGAGAGAGAGAGAGAGAGAGAGATCAGAAAGTAGAGGGGATGGGATTGAGTACGGGCGCCTCTATCTTTGGCGTTGCGCAGCAAGGTCAAGTCGACGAAATCGAAGGCGGCGGCGTTGGGAAGAAACGGGCGGGAGATTTCGGAGTCTGGTTCGTCGCGCCAAGAGTTGGAGAGGAGAGTGAGAGCGAAGGCGATAACGGTACATCCGACGGCGGCGATTGCCCAGTCCTTTTTGGCCCACCTTCGCCACCATAGAAGGCTGCGAAGCCTGGGATTCACCAATGGCCCCGCCATCAATCGGCTGACTGCCTCCGGTGCTCTGCTGCCGCAGTCAAACGGACACTGAAAAATTAACCGCCAGTTTTCAATAAGACAAGAAGCTTTTTTTTGTTTTTTGTTTTTGGTTTTTTAATTTTACTTTCATATTTTTTTTTTGTTTATTTGTTTTTGCGTTTCTTGCAAGAAACAATGTTTTATAGAATAAATCCAGAGAATGAGGTAGGGCATTATTATCGAAAAAAAAAAAAAAACTAATAAAAAGGGCTTGAAAACTTTGAGTTTTAATGATAAGGACAAAATAAAGGGTAAAGTGAATAGTACCAGGATTGACTTTTTAGTGTAAAAATGTGGTTTTTCGTTAAAGTGAACAGTACTGGGTGATTTTCGTTAAAGTTCCAAAAAAAAAAAAAAAAAATGTAGGCCATTATTTTCAGACCAAAAAGAAAGGTAGCATTATTTTGAAGCAGGAAAAATGTTTTGCATGCTAAAAAAACAAGTCAGACTCTCGACACATGAGTGATAACTAGTCGTTAATTCACATGACACGATTCTTAACGAGCACGTAATATAAAAAAAAATAGAGCTCTTTTCCCTTAGCTTATGGACTAGATAGAGATCTTGTAGCTCAAGAAACTAGTTTTAGAATTTTGGGTTTTGTATTTATGATTCAACTGTCCAAATATAACGAGTAAAATTAATACAAGATTAAGAGCTTATTTTGATGTGCTTTTAAAATAACTAAAAGTGCTTTTGGTGAAAATGTTTTTGGAACCAATCCTTAGTAAAAATGCAAGTAAATCTTGGAAAAACACTTAAAGTGATTCTTAAAAGAAGCACATAACTAGTGATTTTTGCAAAAAGTACTGAAGGTGCTTTTGGAATCCAAAAATATTTTCTCTAAAAGCACTTTCAATCATTTTAAAAGCACATCCAAACAAGTCATAAATTTTTACTAATAGTCTAAAAAATGTCACAGAATAGAAAAAATGAGACTTTTCGGTTACAAAAATGACGTGCATTATCGTCTTTTTATACACATCTACATCACTAAGCTGTAGCAAAATGGTCTCTAGCCTTTGAATGTAAAAAACAACGTTTCCTCCTCCATGTAAAAAGAAGTGACAGCAGCTATAAACTGTGTTAAATTTTCTCTACACACCCTCTTTCTCAATATCTACAGGGATAGGATCGTGCTCGGAGTCTGGATGAGGGTAGAATTTTCACTAGGGTGAACTGAGGCTCCAAAGATCTACAGTTCGGAATAACAGTTGAAAAGTTGAAAGCGTTTCTTGAGTTCAATCAACCTCGAGTGAAATTCACATTGTAGCAGGTCGGATTGCATGGAAACTGGCACTCTATTAGCTTCGCTGCACTTCGATTGAAGTACCAGTCCCCCCACACACTCTGCAATTGTCTATTCGGAATAGCAAAGCTCAAAACAGTCAGATGCCGAGTTTAGTTAAGAAACTGACAGAAAACCAAGAAACAAATGAAAGAAAAACAGATTTTGATTTTATAACACTAAGCAGCTTAAGCTTATGGTATTTATGCTTTCATCTGTCTCACAGAGAAATATACGGCTGGGATGATAGAACTTCCGGCACCATATTTGAGTTAACAAGAAATCTCCATCTTCGTTTGTCCGTGTTCTGAACAAAGATGGACTCCCCTGCCCTCCAAACTAGCTTTCGCTTTGGTTGAAGTAAGGGTGACATGGTGGTTTGCCGTGTCTTGTTTTCCCCTGTATTTTCTACTTCTTGTCTGATGTTGTTAGAGCAACTCCACCCATGTGGGTTGCTCGGGGGACAGTGGAGAAGAAGGGGCCGGAGGCCCGGTGGAGAGAGGTCCAGTCGTGTGGAGGCCGAGCGACGGTGGGAGTGTTGGAGTATGTGGCCAAGTGGCCAACTTTTGATTAAACAAATCAAAAAGGAAAAAAAGACAAAATAATTATGTCTCTTCCATGTTTTGGGGAGGAAAACATGGCACCTTGTCTAAGGTGAATTGTTTTGGCCATAACACCCGTGGGTTTTGGTTTTTAACATTGTGTTGTTGCCTTTGGAGCAATTAGAGAGAGAGATGAGAATTGTGCATCAGAAAAACAGAGAAGAAAAATAGAAGTGGAGCAGCCCCTCTTTGAAGAGAAGAAGAAAGTGCTTCTTTTTTTTTGGTTAGTAATCATTTATCAAAGTAGTTGTTGTTGTAATAGCTTTGAGCTATATGTGTAGAGAAGAAATATTCATTATATTTCTTTCTCTATTTGTTTCTTTGGTGTGTGAGAGCTATTGGGTGTATTGGGCTTATGGGTTGTGAGATTGCCAACACTTTGTAAACTCCCATTTGGTTGATAGTGGATTATTGGGTGAGCTCCTACTGCTCCGAGGACGTACTCTAGTTACACTGACTGTTGAGGAACCTCGTTAAAATCTTGGTGTCTTTAATATTTTTTTCTTGCATTTTCATTTGATAAATTTCATGTGGGTTAGCTTGAGTTGGTTCCAACGGGTTTGGTGCTATCCTAGCACAACAATTGGTATCAGAGCACTGGTTGCTCTTGGGTACTGTCTAGTTGCCAAAGATGTCAGACGGGCAAGATGAAAATCCTTTTGGAAGCAGCTCCGGGTTTGCAAGAACTACGGTGCAAAATGCAAAGTTCGAAGTGGAAAAGTTTGATGGCACAAACAACTTCGGGATGTGGCAATGTGAGGTCAAAGATGTGTTGGCTCAACAAGATCTACTTGCCGCTTTGGGAGAGAAGCCGGAAGCTATGTCGAAGCCGGAATGGGAGAAATTAAATTTGTGGGCTTGCTCTTCAATTCGGTTGTGCCTTGCAAAAACTCAGAAATATTTTGTGATGCGGGAGACAGTAGCAAGTGTGTTGTGGCAAAAATTGGAAGATAAGTATATGACGAAGAGTGCAGAGAACCGGCTACACTTGAAGAAAAAGCTCTACCGCTTTCAATACAAAGAAGGTACAAAAATGATTAGACACCTTGATGCTTTTAATAAGTTGATTGCCGACTTGTTAAATTTAGATGAGGATATTAAGGATGAAGATAAGGCCTTAATATTGTTGAATTCCTTGCCGGACTCTTATGAGCATTTTGTTACCACTATTATGCATGGTAAAGAAACTGTGAAATTTGAAGATGTGTCAAATGCCTTGATGAATTATGAAATGAGGCATAGAGATAAAAATCATGATAGTACCTCTGAAGCTTTATTTGTTAGAGGTAGATCATCGGAGAGGAGATCATCTTCTAGTAGGAAAAATTCACAGTCTCGACCTAGAGGAAACTCTAAAGGTAGAAAACCTTTGGAAAGGGATGAATGTGCCTTTTGTCATACTAAGGGCCATTGGAAGAAAGATTGTCCTAAGTTGAAGACCAAAGGAAAAGAAAGTTCTGAAGCCAATGTTGCTGAGGTTGAAACAGATCTTTTTGATTTTGCTTTAACCACTTCCTCATCATTTGATTGTGCTACTAAGTGGGTGTTGGATACGGGTTGTACTCATCATATGACTCCTCACAAGGATTGGTTTTCAAGCTTGAAAGAGTTTGATGGTGGCGTTGTGTTCATGGGAGATGACAATCCTTGCACAACAAAAGGGATTGGTACAGTTCGTTTGAAGTTGCATGATGGCATGGTTAAAGAGTTGACAGGTGTTCGGTATGTACCGAATTTGAAGAAAAATCTTATTTCTTTGGGTACTTTGGAATCCAAGGGCTTCAGGTTTCATTCAGATGGACAGACATTGAAAGTTACTTATGGTGCACTTGTTGTGATGAAAGCTCCTCGATGTGGCCATTTGTATTTATTGCAGGGAAGCACTGTGACAGGTGAAGCATCTGTAGTCTCTGAAAATATGGGCACATCTGATTCAGATACTACTAGACTGTGGCATATGAGATTAGGCCATGCCGGTGAGAAAGCTTTACAAGGGCTTGTGAAACAAGGTCTTCTAAAAGGTGCCACGACTTGTAAGCTTGATTTCTGCGAGCATTGTGTCTTGGGAAAGCAAACTAGAGTGAAGTTTGGTACTGCTGTACATCAGACGAAGGGCATTCTTGATTATGTGCATTCGGATGTTTGGGGTCCTACAAAGACTCCATCTTTGAGTGGTAGACATTGGTTCGTGACCTTTGTTGATGATTATTCAAGAAGGTCTTGAGTCTACACTATGAAGCACAAGAGTGAGGTGTTAAGCATTTTCTTGGGTTGGAAGAAAATGGTTGAGAACCAGACTGGGAGAAAGATTAAGATTTTGAGATCGGATAATGGTGGTGAATACACATCCGATCCTTTCTCTAAAGTTTGTAAAGAGGAAGGAATTGTGAGACATTTCAGTGTTCGGGGAACTCCACAACAAAATGGAGTTGCAGAAAGATTGAATCGAACCTTGCTTGAGAAGGTTAGATGTATGTTGTCTCAGTCGGGTTTAAGCAAGTCATTTTGGGCAGAGGCAGTTAATTATGCATGTCACATCATCAATCGATTACCCTCAGCTGCTATTCAGGGTAAGACACCAATGGAGGTATGGACTGGAAAACCTTCTTCTGATTATGACTATATCCGTATTTTTGGTTCACCTGCTTATTTTCATGTGACTGAAAATAAACTTGATCCTAGAGCCAAAAAGGCTATCTTTCTTGGTTTTAGTAGTGGTGTCAAAGGTTACAGGTTGTGGTGTCCAGAGATGAAGAAACTGGTAATTAGTAGAGATGTGACATTTGATGAAGAAAGTATGTACAAAGTCTCTGAGAAGAATGTGAAAGATGTCCAACAGGTGGAGCTTGAGAAAGTTGCCTCTAGTACTTCAAATCCTATTTTCGCTGATGTCGATGCCACTACAAGTGAAGAAGTTGGAGACCATGAGGATGTTGAAGAAGTTGAACTTGAAGATTCTATTCAAGTTGAAGAGGAAGTTTCACCTCAAGAGTCTATTGCCAAGAACAGAGGAAAGAGACAAATTACCAAGCCAGCTCGGTATAGTGACTATGTTGCTTTTGCTCTTCCTATTATCACTGAAGAGATTCCATCCAATTTTGAGGAAGCTATTGAGAGTGAGGAGAAGAAGAGGTGGTGCAATGCCATGGGTGATGAAATGAATTCTCTCTTGAAGAACAAGACTTGGGAGTT